CCCTGCCTCAAAAAACAAACAAACAAACAACAACAACAAAGCTAAACGTGGTGATGCACTTGTAATCCAGCGGTGGGGAGGTGAAGGCGGGGATCCTGGGGCTCCCTGGTCAGTCAGCCTGGCCAAATGGGTGAGTTCTAAGTAAAAATAAGAGATCACCTGAATAACCAAGGCAGAAATGCCTGCAGACACCTAATGCTGACGTCACACACACGCACACACATGCTGCCAGGTCCTCTTGCTTCAGGACCAGCTGTTGATCACCTTAAGGACAGGGATGCACCTGAGTGTGTCTCTGGGCCATGGGAGGGAGGGGTTCCTGTCTCAAAGTCTCCTAGGGCTGGTCGAGGATAGAACACTCTGGTCAATTGAGCCAGCCATAAAGAGATTTCCCTCTCTTTGACATCTGTGGAGTCAGGAAAAACGCCAACTCAAGATGTAAATAAGTTCATCATGCTGCATAAACTTCCGGTCTGATTAATTTTGGTGTGTGATTTTTTTTAAAAAAAAATTACTTGCAACGTTTTGTATAATAAAGCTTAATTTTTGGTGTTGTTGTTTTGTTTTTGAGACAGGGTCCAGGCTGTTGTCCTCGGAAATGTAGACCTGGCAGACCGTGAAGTCACAGAGATTCTCCTGACTCTCCAGTGCTGGGATTAAAGGCATGTGCCCCCCTCCCTGGGCTACAAAGTTTATTTTTAAAAAGGAGAGTTAAGCAGGATGTGATTGCAAGTGCCTTTAATCCAAGTGCTTGGGAGGCAGAGGCAGGAAGATCTCTGTAAATTCAAGGTCAATCTGGTCTATAGGGCGAATTCCAAAACAGCCAGGGCTGTGCAGAGACCCTGTTTTAAAAGAAAAATAAAGGGGGGGGGGATTACTGAGGACTTTGAAGCAGACACACAGAAGTCCCCTCTAGCGCAGTCGGGGCCAAACCCCCCTCCACTGCGTGAGCTCATTTGCTGCGCTCAGCTTCAGAAAACCAGCAGCTTTGCAAATGAGTCTTGCCTTGAGGATGGAGCACACATCTGAGGGAGACAGATGTCTGGATGCGCCCGGTGGGTGAGGAAAGGCTTTGCATAACCCACCTTCCGTTTCTACAAGCTGCTCACTCACCCTAGCCCTGTTGTCTGGCCGTCATTCTCTTACAGAGTTGCATTCTGGAAATATTGATGAGTTCTGTGTCTGCTACATGGAGGGGCAGCTTCAGTAACATTTGGGTAAGGGAAGGGGGGCTTTGGGGGTCCTAGTGAGGTTCTTCTTATTGTGTGGCATGTGTGTGTGTGTGTATGTGTGGTTTGTGCATGTGTGTGGCATTTGCATAGGTGTGGTATGTGTTTGCATGTGTGTGCTTGTGGTGAGTATGGGGATGTAAGCATGTGCAGTGTATGTGTGTGGGCTTATCTACTTGTGCATGTGTGTATCATTCCTCGGCACTTCCTACCTTCTTTCTTGAGACAGGGTCTCTCATGGCCATGGAAGTTTCTGGGTAGTCCAGGCTGATTGGCCTTTGAGCCCAGGGTTCATCTCTCCCTCCTTGGCACTGACTTTATCAGCACACAGGGTCACACCATGGTTTCTCACGTGGGTTCTGGGGATGGAACTTGGTCTTTAGCCCGCAAGGCGGTTTGCACTTTAAGCGCCCCTAGGAGGAAAGGCTGACCCCAGGCTTAGTCAGAAACCCTAGGCTTCCTTTGGTTTTCCTTGGTAGGAAATGACATGAATAACCTAAAGATCTCCCACTTCTGAGACACCTGGGCACTAAGGTCATCAAGGTTGGCCAGGGCTCGGGCCCCATTGCCCCGACCCCACTCCTCTCCAGCTTGCTTTGAAGCAGTGTGAGTTCACAGCTCATTCTGGGGACATGGTTTGGAAGTCTTCGGGCTTAGGACTGTGGGCTGGAGGTTGGGTTGGGAAGGCACAAGTGACTTCTCTGGACAGACCGTGCCTGACATGGCCACCCTTGCACAGTGGCTTGGGAGAAGAAGGAACTAAAAGTTGATTTGGAACTGGGTCAGTCCTAGCATGATGTCTTCTCGCCTGGTCCTATGACTTGAGGTCCTCAACAACTCCTTTGGGAGCAGTCAGTGATGTTAAGGTCCCTGAAGTCATGGAGCTCCACTCTCCCTGAAGCAGCGGGCAGAAACTCTTTCTAAAAGTGCATTTATTTACTTTTTATTTTATATGTATGTGTGTACGTAATTGCTCATGCTGTAGTATGTGGTCAGAGTACATCTTGAGGGTATCAGGACATTCCTTCTACCACTCTTCTCTCAGGCTCAAACGCAAGCAGTCAAGCTTGTCACAGGTCCCTTTTTCCCCCTTGTTAGCCCTTACTGCTTTTGAAGCACCAAAGATGGTCCCTGCGGTGTGTTTGGGACTTTATACACCACACCCTAACCTTCACTATGAATCCCTTGCTTGGGTCCTACCGCTGGAAGAGCTGGAAGAGACTCACAACAGTCAAGTGCTGTGCAGCATTGCCAAGGGCAATATCCAAAGTCCAAAGTCTGGACTACAGCGTCCCAAGGACCAGCAGCACCCCCTCCCCAGTCCTCTCTCTGCCATGGGGTCAGCCAAAGTGCAGGGTGGGTAGGTTTTAACCGGATTAGCTTGGGTAGGTTCTTCCCAGGAAACAGGGGTGCACGAAGGGCCAGGTTGGTCAGCCTGGGCCCGGCACTATTTTTCTGTCCCAGCATTCGTCCATAAAACCAAGCCAAGCGAGGGGCAGGGGAAGAGAAGCCACTCTGGCCTTCTGTTGTGTGGCTAGTTTTGTTCTCACGTGGGAGGAGCGGGGCACACAGGATTCAGATAAACTTGCAGGATTTCTACTCCTTGTCAGGAAGTTGCACGTCATCTCTGGGGAGAGAAGCCTTACTTGGAGTAGCTGCCAGCAATTGGTGAAGGAGCTCCCAGGACGCATCTCCCATGAGTGGGCATCCTCTGGGGTGAGCTCCACTAACTCAAGGGCACGTTCCTGTAGTAAGCCCCATAGACTTACAGCTTTACTGGACTAGACTTGGGTATGGGTTGCCCCTGCTGCCCCAGGAGTCCTATCTGTGGTGGGTGACCTTTGATCACTTCTGTCTGGAAGTCACCCAACACTCCTTCCTGGGGCTATTCCTGTTTTCCAGAAACCCCTGAGTCCAGTCACTGCCCCCATCCTGCTGGCTCTCACAGGGGCCGAAGGCTCAACAGGTCAGGGCCTGCTCTAGGCTGTTTTCTCTCGGGAGGCTCAGAGTTCCCTCATGACCTGTGGCTGAACAGAGTCTTTTCTCATGGTCCGAGCATCTTTACGTTTGACTGAATCTCTTCCTACCTCAAGTATTATATTTCAACTAGTTGGGACAGAAAAAAAATTAGGGGAATTTGGAGGGAAAAGGGAAAAGGGAGGGAGGGAGAATTCCCAACGCTCAGCCTTTCTCTGGACAGGGCTATAAATGCCCAGAGCAAGGCTGCAGGCACCTGGGGTCTGTGTTTGCCAACCCTTGAGGAAAGCCAGCTGCAGCTGTTCTCGGGGACCTCTGGAAGGGTCTGCCTGTGTCGAGCAGGGACCAGGCCTGTTCTTACCATTTCCTTCCAAAGACCACCTTTCCTAGTGGCTCAGACAGCTGAGCCCTGAGACACGGTTGTGAACATTTATGAAACTGAGGAATGAGTTTGCGCCAAGTTTATTATAAATGCAATACATGTTCATTATAACAACTGAAGATGTTACCAAGATGGAATTTAAGAAAAGGGGAAAGAAGTTCATAAAACTATGCAACTTTGCAGACTCAGGCATAATATTCTTTTAGTTTTTCTCCATATAAATGCGTATTTACAGTAAAAATGCTAACGTCAATTCAAACATCGATCATCATCATTGCAATCATCATCATTATTGTTATTAGAGAGAGGATCTCATTAAGCCCAGGCTGGCTTCAAAATTCCTACGCACCAAGGACGACCTTGAGCTTCTGACCCTCCTGTCTCTTCCTCCTGAGTGCTGGGGTGACAGGCACGGCAGGCACAGCAGGCACAGCAGGCACAGCAGGCACGCGCCATCATGCCTAACATATGCATGGTACTGAGGATTGGACCCAGGGCTCCTCGCATTCTAGGCAAACACTCTACCATCTGAGCTATCATCTCAGTATAGCACCCTTATTTTTATATTCTCAAGCCTGGGTACCGTCAGGGAAACCGCCGAGTGCCTGGCACTCAGTTCTAGGGATTATCAACTCACAGTTAACATTTCATTTATCTCCTACTTTATGGCTCAATGAGACTAATTTCATCTATTAAACACACCTGTGTGGGTCTCTGAGGAATAAGTGCTTTTTAAAACAAGAAATAAAAACCATCAACGCTAGTGTTTATAGTTGTTAGTGTTTGCTTGAGATAAGGGGCTCCCAGGGAAGCCCAAGCTGGCCTGGATCTCACACGTAGCCTATACTATTCTCAAACTTGTAGCAATCCTCCTCCTGCAGCATCTCAAGCGCTGGGATTAGACACATGAAGCACGAAGTCTGACTGACAGTACAAATTTTAATCTTAAAAAACATCAACATTTCCAGTCAGGTAGTGGTGGTGCACACCTTTAATTGGGAGACAGAGGCAGGCAGATCTCTGTGAGTTCGAGGCCAGCCAGGTCTATAAGAGCTAGTTCCAGAACAGGCTCCAAAGCTACAGAGAAACTGTGTCTTGAAAAAACCACAAAACCAAACCAAACCAAAAGAAAAAAAAAGCAAAACCCAAACCAAAAGAACATCAATATTTCCTATCACCCAAATGTGATTTTGGGAGAGGGAGGTTCCTCTCCCTTCTTTTCTGATAGTGTTCAATCTGAACCTTTCTTCACAATCCTAAAATGGAATTATTCACACCTCAAAGACTTCTTATCCTCCACCCCCTGTTTTATCTGCATCTTCAGGAAGATGAGCACAGAAGGCAAACAGCCTGAGTAACCTGGTTGGCCTGATGACCCCACCCCAGGTGTGGGAGGAGTCCTCTGCGCTTACCTGGGCAGATGGGAATCAAGTGCCAGTCAGTCCGCCAGTCCCACACAAACTCCACCAGACACCAACACTTCCCTCTCTCTGAGGGCATCTTTATTTGCGAAGTTAGCCAATAGCATCTGGCTTCCTGTCTTGAGATGCTGTGGCAAGCACGCACAGAAGCTCCAGGCTGGAGCCCAGCTGATCACAAGGGAGCCTGCATTTCAAGTCTCAGGGACTGCTGCCTGGGGCAGACCTGGTGGTGGCTGGCGACTGTGTCACATGGCCCCCAGCGAGATGAGAGTCTGCAGCCCCAGAGGCCCGCAGAACACAAGTCAGGCCTCGTTAGGAGGGGTCTCAGGCAATCTGTGAAAGCCCCGCATCTTTCCATCCATCTTCGAAAGCATCTGGTGCCCACTGGGCAGCACTGGGGTGCAGGCTCAGTGTCCTTGCTGTCTTTCATCTGCATGGTCTCCGTCCCTGCTGCCTGCCTGTGCCTGCTGAGGGGCACACATCACGGGAGGTTCTTAGGAGGCTGTTCTGTCCACTGAGGCAGGAACATCACACTGAAAATGTCAGTAGCTCTCCCCGGTTCACGGTTGAGAAAGTCCACTCCCTAGTCCCTTTTCTGTTTCCTCCTGGCCTCCCTGTTTGCTCGCCTTCCCCTGCAGAGGCCAAGGGATCACAGAGAGAGAGGTAGGGGCTCCTTACAGGCTCTCAGACATTGGCCCTTTCCCTATGCCCCAGCAGCTACATCGGGGGCTACCCAGGTCAGCTCCTTGCCCTCACTCTGCTCCACTTCAGCTCCTGAGTTTTGTTTTTTATTTTTATTAATTCTTTGGGGATTTCACATTTTGTATTTTGATCATGGTCATCCACCTGCCTCCTCCCAGGTCCACCGCTGTTTCAAACCCACCCAACCTTGTTTCACATTCATTTCTGCCAAACTTTTTTTAAGGTTTATTTTGAATTATGCATACATGGATGTGAGTGCAGGTGCCCACCGAGGCCAGAGGACTCAGATCTCCCTGGAGCTGGGGTCACAGGCAGCTGTGAACTGCCTGTCATGCGTGCTGGGGACTGAGCTGTGTCTCCTGCAAGAGCAGTTATGTGCTCTTAGCCACTGAGCCATTCCCACAGCCCCCCTTTTATGTTTTGGTTTGTTTTATTTTGTTCTGTTGTTGCTGAGATATGCCCCACGCATCCTGGCCTGGCTCTGTATTTGAAGATGACCTGAGCATCCTCCTGCCTCCACCTGCCAAGGGCTGGGGTGTTCTGCCGTGTCTCATTGATGAGGTGCTGGGGATCGAACTCAGGGACTTCACACACACCAAGCAAGCGGTCTACGGGTCGAGCCATCTCCCCAGCCACTCTCGGCTCACCCTTGTGCTCCTGTCTTGGATCTGGCCAAGATTCTCCCACCGCTCCTGCCGAACAGTCTCATCAATGCTCATTGCTGACACAACTCCATCTCCAGCTGGGGCCTGGAGAGCACCCTGTGCCCATCGATCCCTTTCCGTCTGTCTGTCTTCATCTCACCCTCCCACGTATACAGAGAGCAATCCCGGAGCTGCAGCTGTACAGCTTTAACTCGGGGAGCTTCCTCCGCTCCCTGGTCTGTCTGTGAGCTTGCTCTCAACACGATGGTCTCCTTTTTCTTGCCACTGCATTCTGACCACTTCCTCTTCCTCCAGCACACATGCACACATGCACACACACACTCACACGTGCACACACACGCACACGCACACACATACACACTTCCCTGTGCGTGCACTGGCACTGGGAGTGCCTGCCTCCCTGACTCACCTGCTGAGGGCTGAGAAGTGAGCTGTCCTGTTCAGGGATGTTGCAGCTGATATAACTCTGTGATGAGTGTCAACACACTTGTGCCCGTTTCCTTGTCCCCACAAGGTGGTGACAGCTGTCCGGATGGACACCCACACACACAGAGGAACACAGTATTTAGGAGAGGCACTCTGAGCTCATGGAGTTCTATTTTAGAGTAGGAAAGAAGGCAAGCCTGCTTTTGGGACCTGAAGGCAGTGTGTGTGTGTGTGTGTGTGTGTGTGTGTGTGTGCGCGCGTGCACGTGGTGTTTGTGCCACATATGCATATGTGTACAGCATAAATGAAGTCCAGAAGAGGCCACTGATCCTCTGGAACTGGAATTATAGGAGGGTATGAGCCATCTGATGTGGGCACTGGGAACCAAACTTGTGACCTCAGCAAGGCAGTAAGCACTCTGAACTACTGAGCCTCTTTCCAGCCTGCCTGCCTGCCTGCCTGCCTGCCTGCCTGCCTTCCTTCCTTCCTTCCTTCCTTCCTTCCTTCCTTCCTTCCTTCCTCCCTCCCTCCCTCCCTCCCTCCCTCCCTCCCTCCCTTCCTTCTTCCCTCCCTTTGTTCCTCCTTCCCTCCCTCCCTTTGAGACAGGGTTTCTCTGGGTAACAGCTCTGGCTGTCCTGGAATTAGCTCTGTAGACCAAACTGGTCTCCAACTTGCAGAGATCCGCCTGCCTCTGCCTCTGAGTCCTGGGATTAAAGGCATGCGCCACCACCGCCCTGTTTAAGTTATTTCTTTAAAAACTCCTATTTTTGCTATTTTATGTATATAAGTGTTCGCCTGTACAATCACAACCACATGCATGCCTGAACCCCAAGAGGCCAGAAGAGGGCAGTGGATCCCAGGTCTCCTGAGACTAGAGGTACCGATTGTTGTGAGCCACCATGTGGATGCTGGGAATCAAATCCAGGTCCTCTGGAAGAGCAGCCAGTGCTCTTAACCACTGAGCCATCTCTCCAGCCCCTGATTAAATTACTTCTGAATGACAGCATTTCGAGGTGGAAGAACCAAGGTGCATTACAAATGGAAGCAATAACGAACGTCTTTTATTCCAAAATAAACCATGGGTTGTCACTCAACTATTCACCTTGCTTTTGAGATGGGGTCCTGCTGTGTAGCCCATGCTAGCCTAGAACACCCAAGTTCTCATCTCAGCCTCCCAAGCTGGAACTTCTAAGCTCTTAGACATATGCTGCAATACTCAGCTAAACAGCTCACCCCCCAGCTGCATCTCTGCTCTGGGCCGCCCCCGGCCCGCGGGCACTTCACGCCCCCCCCCCAGCTTCAACTCTGCTCTGTCCCTCCCCTGTTGCCTGGGTCACCCCCTCACCCTAGCTGCATCTCTGCTCTGTCTCTCTGCCTTGCCTGGGTCACTTCACTGCTGCTGTGATGAACACTGTGACTAAGGCAATTTATAAAAGCAAGGATTTAATTGAGCTTATGGTTTCGGAGGGTTAGAGAACTCAACCCAGCTGAGAACTCACATCTTGATCCAAAAGTAGGAGGCAGAGAACCCTGGGATGGCTTTTGAAACCTCAAGTCCTCCCGCCCCCCAGTGACAGGCCATCTCTGACAAACCGCACCTCCTAATTCTTTTTTTTTTAGATTTATTTATTTATTTATTATATATACAACATTCCTTCCATGTATGCTTGCATGCCAGAAGAGGGCACCAGATCTCATTATAGATGGCTGTGAGCCACCATATGGTTGCTGGGAATTGAACTCAGGACCTCTGGAGGAGCAGTCAGTGCTCTTAACTGCTGAGCCATCTCTCCAGCCCCCCAAATTCTTTCCAAACAATTCAACCAACTGGGTCCAAGTATTCAAACATTTGAGCTCTGTGGGCCATTCCCATTCAAACCACCACAGGCCTTAACTATGTAATAATAATTAACCACCACCTTAATGGTATTAATTAAGTGTTGTCCTCTTGTAGGTACAACTTATATGCCTGACCTGACTTAATTGTTCATTCTCAGGTACAGCGGCTCATACCTGGGGTCAGGCACTTAGGAGGCTGAAGTCAGAGATTGCTGCTACTCGTAGGCCAACCTGGGCTACAAAATGAGGTCTTGTCTTGAAACAGCTGCAACAACTCCCAAGTAATTAAGGCACGGTTGGTGTAGGTTTTGGCAATGACACAAACCTGCTGGCCAAGCGGGATGATGGGTAGTTAGAAAGCTGAACACAGAGGAAGGAGTGATGTCGGCCTGAGGAGCTAGGCTTCACTCGCATCTTCACTGTGGAGGGTGCTCCAGGAGAGGGACCAGGAGCCGTGCAGAGCTGCGCCTTCCCACAGCGTTCCTTACAGCTCTCCTTCCCTGCATCCCTGTCCCCCGTTCCCACCGCACCCTACAGCAAGGATGCCTGAGTGGCTGGCTTTCTTTACGCCAACCTGTCAGTGTTCTCCCTCCACTCTCTGGAAAGCCCTGCTTACTATGTGTAGAAAATCATCTCAGATCCTAGCAGGGAAGCCCTGAACAGTGGTCCCTCCACCCACCCCAGAGGATAAGTCATGACCCTCAGAGGGAATGTCCTGAAACTTAGCTTTAAGTAGGTGAACAAGGGTAAATGGTACAGGTTGGACTGCTGTCATGTTCTCGGTCATGCCATGCATCAGAAGACAGCAGTGAAGTCAGAATTTACCTGTAGTGTAGATGCTGGACCAGGGATGGAAGCGCTGGTGTCTCAGCACTCCCATCATAGCCCATCCTTGCTCCCAGCCACATGGAGCCCTTACCCATGCGTGAGGGTCTCCATCTGAAACCCTCGGACTCTGGGCGTGACTCGGTGAACATGCTCTGGGTTGATCTTCTGCAGGTGCGGGGGTGGGGCATGCTTCGAGTCCCATGATCTCCTGCACCATGTGAGCAGGCATGTGTGTCGGGGGCATACCTGGAGTCCCATGATCTGCACCATGCAAGCAGGTATGATGTAGAAGGGTCTTCTATCTATCTGTTGCTTTCATTGGTTAATTAATAAAGAAAACTGCTTGACCTGATAGGTCAGAACATAGGTAGGTGGGGAAGACAGAACAGAATTGTGGGAGAAAGAAAGCAGAATGAGGCAGATGCCATGATTCCCCTTCCCGAGACAGACGCTGGCTAGACTCATGCCCATAAGCCATGACCTCGTGGTGAATAGATTATTAGATATGGGTTAGTCAAGATGTGAGAGTTAACCAATAAGAGGCTATAACTAATGGGCCAGGCAGCGTTTAAATGAATACAATTTCCGTGTAATCATTTCAGGTGTAAACTAGCCTGGGAGCCGGGATTCTGGTGGGAACGCAGCCCATCGCTCCTTTTGCAACACAGGTACAGGAGTGGGGCACACCTGGAGTCCCAGGATCTCCTGCACTGGGTGAGCAGGTATGTGTGTGTGGGGGGGTACACCTGGAATCCCAGCACTCAAAGGTGGAGACAGGTGGTCATCCTTGGCTGCATAGCAAGTCTGAGGCCAGCTGTGAGATGCATGCCCAGAGGTTCCTGAGATGTGGCCATCCACAAGCCACATCCTCAGAGCATCCGCAGAGCAAAGCATGCCTGCTGACAGTGGAGTCTGGGCTTTCAGGCTTCAGAAGCATCAGAAAAACGTGTTGACTTCTAAGGTCTGCCACTGCCGTGATTTGTCACAGTAGCCCCAGCAGTTAAGAGACTTCTAAGGTCTGCCACTGCCGTGATTTGTCACAGTAGCCCCAGCAGTTAAGACATCCGGTCAACTTATCAGGCTAACCTGGAACTCCCTGTGCAGCTGAGGAGGACTTTGAACTCCTGATTCTCCTCTTTCCACCTCTTGAGTGCTGGGTTTACAACACCCCTTAAAATGATGGGTTTCAAATTTTCATTGTATCCCTGTACCTTGCTCATATTCCCACCCCACCCCCACCCGCCCTGCCCCTCCTCCCTTCTTCCTGGTTGACACCTGTAGTTTTTAACTCTCAACCCTCCTTTTCAGGTGAGGAAGTCACGAGGATGAAGGGAGTTAAAGGATAACTTGAGGTCCCCTGT